CAAGGATTCACCAATGAGAACGAGGCAAAATTAATAGCCCCGTATGCCTATATAAGGAACGGAGTGGCTGCTGACAGCATCCATTATTAGGTTTGCTTTCTACCAGCCACTGCTACTTTACTGCTATCAATCCCGCACTGAAGATGCCACCTCGAATGGTGGTGAAACGTTTGCAACCAAGTTGCCCAGCTCGGAGAACTCCACAACAACTGAGTACGACGGTTTATTGGTGCACGGTAACAAGTACTTATAGAAGGCAACTGTATGAATGATTTCGCATGTCTGCGCTTGTCCTTATGTGTATGTGTCATTAAAAGTGGTAACGTAAATGGGAATCGAAATAGCTTGCTATATATTGCATTAAAGAGTGCATTAAATTACGGATGCACGATCCTAGGAGTGAAAGGCTGTATGTATAAGTGTAAGGATATATATATATATATCCTTGCAGAGGTAACATAGATGTTAATGCATTGACACATGTGTTAAAGGTGCACACATTTAAGTATATTTATTGAAACGTACATCTAAGTATATCTTGTAATATTCTAGTTGACAATGGATTGCGATGAACTCGAGAAAAACTAGCTGCTAATTATACAGATGAACATGTTTATGTGATTTTACATGTTGAAATATGGTGATTAGCGTCGTTGGAATGCGCGTTTTATGGATAACATTACCTAATTAACGTAATAAATGTTAGCTGAAATTTTTAGGGTACGTAAATGTATGACTTGGATGAAGCACATGCAATCACACTGTGATAAATGAGCAATTTGTAGAAGTTATGAACGTGGACGGGAATAATTGTATGCATGTATAGCACACATTTACGCATGAGTACGTATTACTGTGTATTCCTGCGAAGGTGACGGTTGCATATTTTGGCCATGTTAATGTGTCATTTATCGCATTAATGTGCATACTTTACTGGACCCATGGATTGCGTTCGTTGCCGTTATGCATGGAAAGAGAATATAACTACGGTAACGGTAGCGTAATCATCAACTATGAAACTGTGACGCATTGCATGTTTCCACCATCGGAAATTCAAGCTGCGTTATAAGGGTGTCCATGCCCCGATAGGGAGAAGTTATTATTAACTGGATTGAAAAGTATGTCATTGGGCTGCACCAGCTTCCATGAACGGTTGTCAATTACCACAAATACGTCCCATTAAATGTGCGGCAATAGCACCAATCGGGAAACAATATGCGTACACGAAATAATGTGCTTTATACAAAACAAATCAAACGTAATCGACGCAGTGCACATGTAGTTATCAATGGTAGAGATTCCGGGTCATGAATGTTTAATATACGTTAGCATGTGAATAAGCGGTTGAATTCTGCATGCATTCGTCGGGACTTCTATTAGCCGTTAAACTGGACAACGGGGTGAATATGCCTCTGTTCACGGTTCTAGAGCAGCAGAAGGCATGCGGCGGTAATATGCTCATGGAAAACTCATCTGTGCTGCACTAGTTTTTTGAAAATGCAGTATTATCCATTTGTCACGGCTCTGCGCACAGCTTGGCGGACAGGCGGTAGATGCAATGAATATACATATCGGTTTACCGCATTTATGTTCATGATTTTGCACAGCTGCCATGTATTACCCGACGTGGTAGTTGTCTTGTATTAAGGCTAATTGCTAAGGCAACAACCATACAGGGTAACGTTCTAGGTGATAAGCAGCGGTGGATGTAAATGGTTCCGGACATAGGGAAAGCCGAAGCAATAAGCGTGACGGACGTTTAAACCATTCAGAAATATTCATCACTAGGTGAGTGAGCGTATATGTAGCTCTGAACACACCAAGGGTGAACACTGAGAAATGGTTTCCCAAGCCTCATAAGAGGCCGCGGTGACAGTTCGAAATCAATGTAAACGGTACATTGGATAAACGAACACGTAAGACAGTATAAATATGTACTATTGTTAAAAAGATATGTTACATAAAAACATCTCGTGTGTAAAATACGCGGTGATGAACATACGCATGGAGTTATGCATTACTCCGGAAGCGACGAGACTGTCAGAGTAGTCATGCATACGAAGGGAATATGCGCCCGTTTTAAAAGCCACACGTTACAGATTAATACACCAACCTGACGTGCACTAGAAGTATTTCTGCTGTGGCACACGTGAAGTGGAGGCGGACCAGTACTGGCTGATCACTGAAGTAGGCACCACGGATAGACAGGGGTTCTGAAAGCGAAAAGTGAACAAGAAATGCACTTACCACAGAGGTTCAACGGAGTACATAGGCGGCAGCACATGTTACATGTAGGAAAAGTAGTAGAGGCGGACCACTCATCACGGATAGACAGGGGTTTTGAAAGTGAAAAGTGAGCAAGCAATGCACTTACCAGAGGTGCTACGGAGTATATACGCGGCAGCACATGTTACATGCAGGGAAAGTGGTAGTGGCACATCACCCATTTAGGAATCACTGATAGACTGGAGTTGTAAAAGCCGCATTAGGACACAATACACTTACCGTGGGTGAAAGGAAGTACGTAGCGGCGGCAACCGTGACCTAGAGCCTGACCAGAAGTGGCGGATCAGTCATCCAGGCAGCGCGGATACACAGGAGTTGAAAAACCAATTGTTAACAGCAAATAAACTTGCTGGAGGTGCAACAGAGTATCTATGTTGCAGGAACTGTTTCGTGGAGGAATACCATTAATGACGCATATGTCAGAGATACACAGGTGTCCTAAAAGAAAATAGTGAAGAGCCAATGCGCTTTCCGGAGTTGCAACGGAGTACAGAGGACGCAAAGGATACGTGTATGCCAAAAAGTAGCGCCGGATCACCTATATAGAGAGCATAGATACACAGCACTACTAAAAGCCACTTATTAACAGCGGACATACTTATCGGAGGTGCAACGGACAAGCTAGCAGCCGCAAAGGTGACGTGGAGGCGGACCAGCATTGGCGGATCAACCATATAGGCAGTATGGATACCCAGCAGTTCTAAAAGCTAATTATTAACAGCGGATACACCTACCGGACGTGCAACGGACTTGATAGCGGCGGCAAAGGTGACATGGAGGCGGACCAATATTGCCGGATGAACCATATAGGCAGCGCAGATACACGGGGTCTCTAAAAGCCACTTGTTAACAGCGGATATACTTACCGGAGGTGCAACGGACAAGCTAGCAGCGGCAAAGGTGAAGTGAAGGCTGACCAGTAGTGGCGGATCACCCATATAGGCAGTGCAGCTGGACGGGTGTTCTAAAAGCCACTCACTAATAGCGGATACACTTACCTGACGTGCAACGGACTTGATAGCGGCGGCAAAGGTGACATGGAGGTGGACCAATATTGCCGGATGAACCATATAGGCAGCGCAGATAAACGGGGTCTCTAAAAGCCACTTGTTAACAGCGGATATACTTACCGGAGGTGCAACGGACAAGCTAGCAGCGACAAAGGTGACGTGGAGGCGGACCAGCAGTGGCGGATCACCCATATAGGCAGCATGGATACACAGCGGTTCTAAAAGCCACTCACTAATAGCGGATACACTTACCGGACGTGCAGCGGTGAGACAGGGAGGTCTGTTGTTACCTCTCCGCTAATTCCCTGTTGACGAAGTAATGGAAATCACACTCACACTACCTGGAGAGCCTTGTGGGCATTTCTCACCTTTCGTCAATAAACTTTTCTCATCCTGACCCTAGCTTATTTGTTATCGCGCTCTGTTTTCAATTCTTCTTCAACTGAAGTGCCAGATCTCACTGCCTGCGGTTATCTAGTCCCACGTACCAGCCTCTTTCTCTCTGATTGCTCCTATGCTACGTAGACTTAAGCGGTATATGCTATGCAGATTCAACGCTCATATTCCCCTACCCAGAGAGGCTGCTAGACTCGTTGATCCTCTATTGCTACAGCTTTTTTCTGCCTTTATTATACGTGCTTTTCCTACTCGCTGACCAATCCTGTCTCGCCAGATCGGCCACTTGTTATTCGATTTCACTCAGAGTTATTCGACGTTACAAACCTTGGTTGGGCTAACTGAACGTTTTGTTTACGTCACCTGGAAAGCCTCGTGGGCTCCTCCACTCTTTATCAATAAACTTATTCCAACCCGGTTCCTAACCTTTTCCTATTGCGATCTATGTTCTCAATCTTCCTTCCATCGGAGGACCGGTTTTCACTACACTGCTGTAAATCTAGTCCTACTTGACCAGTCCATTTCCCTCTGACTGCTTCCATGCAACCTAGAATTAAGCGATATTCGCTCTACAGGCTCAACACTAAGTTTCCCATACTTCCAGAACCTGCTTTACTTGTTCACTTTTTAATGTTATGGCTTTTTCACATTATCTCTCTTGGTTCGACTGACCGAATGATTCTGTTTACATTACTTTGGACAGCCTCGTGGGCTTTTCCACACATTACCCATAAAACATCCTTATCTGGAACCGCACCTTTTCTTGCTTAGCGCCATCTGTGTATTCATCTCTTTTGCAATCGAACGGCTGATTTCAATGCCCTGCTGTGATCTTGTCTCGCCTGACCAGTCTGTTGCACTATGACTGCACCTTTACATCTTTAACTCAAGCGTTATAGGCTCTGGGGCTCAACGCTAGGTTTCCCCTACCCCTAGAGCCTGCTAGACTTGCCCACCATCTATTGTTAGCTCTTTTCTCACCTTTACTATATGCCCTTATGCAAACACGCCGACTAATCCAGTCTTACCGGATCGGCGTCCTGCTATCCGGATTCATTCAGACTTCTGAGACGTTACCTCTCTTGGTTCGGCTGACTCAACTACCCGATTACATTACTTGGAGAGCCGCGTTGGCTTCTCCCACCCTTTCGTCAATAAACCTTTCTCATCCTGACCCTAACATTTATTATCGCGCCCTGTTTTCATTTTTTTCTTCAAATGGAGTGTCCCATCTCACTGCTCTGAGGTGCTCTAGTCCCACTGACCAGCCTCTTTCTCTCTGACTGCTCCTATGCTACCCAGACTTAAGTGACATAAAGACCGAGCAGTACCCAGCGCTGGCCTCCAGCGAAATGTTGCGATTCAGTTTTGCCTATTATTATTAGCACATCCTCTGCTCAGGTTACAGTTGTACTTGTGTAAAAAAAGCCGTGGGAGCGTATCCAAAGAGGTACTTCACTTCATTTGCTTCCAGTCCGCAAACAAGTGTTTAGTGATGGGCGGGTGCTGTGTCTGAAATTAGTGCTCGCAAGAAATAAGCGAGCATCCTCACAAATGAAGTAACCGCTCACCGTTATCATTACGGGAGCCTATACCATGTTGGCCGCCCACATGCAGCTCATCTGTGGATAATTTTCCAACTTGAGCGTTCAGATCCCCAGCCAGCACTACAATGTCCGAGCTTCTTCTGTGGCTAAGGAGCTCGTTCAGTTGACGATAGAAGTCGTCTTTTACCGAGTCATCGCTACAGTTTGTCGGTGCATAGGCAGCGATAACGAATAGACACCTGTTAGTCCCACGTGACTTCGAAGCTTTGAACGAGCCAGCCAATCGGACCGCACACATCCGGCTACTGATTGGAATCCAATCAACCGGAGTAGCTTCAGCCCGGGGACTCAGCGCAATACCAACACCAATGTGCGAACATTGAGGCATGCCAATCTGAAGGAGGATCGAGGGCTCCAAATGGAAGCCGATGAACTGGAATGGGCCGCTTGGTTGGACATGGGCCTGTTGACAGGGCAGGAAGGACGCTCCGCGTTCACATGTGAGTTGAAACTAAAAGACAAGCGACTATTGAAGCAAGGTGTGGGAGGGCCGAGAATTGGGGGTTGAAAACAGGGGGATAAAAGTAAAGCTGGAACGGTACGATAAGGGTGAAAAAGCGCAAGAGGGGGAATAAGAAGACGGGGAGGCTTGAGCAGTAGCATTCAAACCCCCATTCCACCCTGATCGATGCAGCAGACAGGGCACCGTTGATTATCCTCTGCGGTGGCCAGAGCATCAGAAATAGGTTTGACGTGAGATTCATTGTATTGCGTGGGCAGGATACTGTCAGGTTGCCCAGGCCTAGACAGGAGAACGATTAGGGTTCTCAACCAAAGCCTTTGGTTAAAAAAGCCTGACCACAAGGCAGCGGGTTTGGCACTGGGCTACAAGGAGTCCATTTTAAGGAATAAGAAGCCACCCTCATTCCAACCCCCAACCTGGAGGACCAGGAGGCTGAGTTTGTCTGGCCTCTAACCATTGACCAATTTGGTATGAGTGACTCTGAAGTTGCAAAAATGCACCACCCAGTATAGCTCAATGGATCACAGAGGCACACAAACCATCGCACCACGGTAAGGTCCCGCCTAATTGCGATGGAACTGAGCACCTCATCAATTCCTGGCTCAAAGGTCCACGCAAAATGGAACACTCACGGGATTCTCCCAACGTTCCAGTCCTATCTGAACTTGAATTCGAATGTTTGCGTCTCCTCAGGCGTGAATATCAGGTTACTGGACAAACGGATCAGAAAAGCCTTTTCCGCTGGGTCCGCAATTGGGGGATGACTGCACCGTCGGTTTAGGTCCCGTAACATGTGGACACAGAACAAAACCATGCACGCATCCGGATACACCTCCCTGAAAGCGTTCATTTGTTGCGCGCACTTGTCTACCACAATGGTCCGCACGGATGCCGTGCTAAGAACCATTGCACGGATAGCTGTCGTCTCATTTGGTAACAAGGCGTAAAAGAAGGACATCACCACTCCCGTGACGTCCACGAACATGCAATGCCATAGAAAGTAGCCCCCGTAATGAACCAGATGCAGTGTCTGGAAACAGTCTCTGGAACTTATAGATGCTCGCCGGCATATTCCGGCTGGAAGCGAACACAATGAACCTCGCAAAGAGCTCCGTGCTAGCCTGAAGAGAGACCGCGAATCCTGGTGGTCTCATCGTGCAACAGAGATGGAAATGGCCGCTGCCCTTGGTAACCATCGTAAGTTATTCCGTCTGATACGGGAAACGGGCAGCAGGAGACCTGGTGTTAGTGAAACCATTTGTGACGACAGTGGACAGCCTATCCACAAGTTATCAAAACGCTTAGAGCGTTGGGCTGAGCACTTTGGAAAGCAATGTAATCGTTCGGAATCGTTAGATTTATCGCCGACCGGTGATCGCCCTGCTCCGTGGGCTTTCTCCGAATCCACCCTCTCGATCAGAAGTCGAACGTGAGATCGAACTGTTGAAGTTGAACAAAGCCGCGGGACCTGATGATCTTCCTCCAGCACTCTTCAAATTCGGGGGACCTGCTCTTGTGGATGATTTACACGAGTTACTAGTCAAACTGTGGGAGCAGGAAACTGTCCCAACTGATTGGAGCCGCTCCGTCATAGTCCCAATTTTCAAGGGAGGCTCACGATCGGAATGCGGCAGCCATAGAGGAATCAGTCTGATCTCCATCGCCTCCAAATTGCTTGCCTCTGTCATCCTTCACAGACTGACTGGCACTCGTGAAAGCCAGATTCGTGAGCAGCAAGCTGGATTTCGTCGAGGTCGTGGTTGCATTGACATCTTCACGTTCCGTCAGTAATTGGAGCACCGTCACACATATTGGCGGCCCACCATTTTCGTGTTCCTCTATATCAAAGGTGCATTCGACTCCGTGTATAAATATGCACTTTGGGGCTGTCTACTCAGGAAAGGTGTACCTGAGAAATGTGAATATTATCCGAGCATTATATGCGCGTAGCTCGGGAAGAGTGAGGGCTTACGGCAAGCTGTCGTCGCCCTTTAATATCGCCAGCGGCGTGAGACAAAGATGCCCGCTGTCACCTTTTCTCATCAACTTCGCTGTTGACGAAGTCATGGAAATCGCGTAAACTGGACACGATTTAGAAGGTGTGTAGCTACTCCCAAAAGAACGACTTCTTCACTTAGAGTATGCTGATGATATTGCCCTAATCTGTGACAGCTCACAAATGTGCCAAGCGGCACTGGACAGATTAGCACCAGCTGTCCGTCACTTCGGGCTTTGCTTCGCACCCTCGAAGTGCAAAGCGTTCCTCAAAGATTGGCCTGGACCGCCTCCTACGATTACCCTTCATGGGGATCAGCTAGAAGTCGTTCAAAAATTCAACTACCTGGGAAGTTGTATCCGCGCCCGTGGCATTGAAGATGAGATCACGAACCGTATAGCAAAAGCTCGGGGCGCTTTTGCTAACCTTCGCCACTTATGGCGCCGGCGCGACATCACTCTTGCCCTGAAGGGTAGAGTGTACAATGCAGCAGTACGTTCGACCCTACTGTACGGTTGCGAAACCTGCCCGCTTAAAGCAGCGGACCTGAAGGGGCTAGTTACGTTCGACCACCGGTGCCTTCGTAATTTAGCTCACA